TTCATATATGTGTTGGCGTTGAAGTACATCAACGGAGGAAGGCCCATGGTGAACACTATTAAGCTGTTCCACGTGTGATAGAGATGCTTCATGGGTGCGAGCGATATCCAAACACTGATCAATGGTTATTAAGTATCATCACGAGCCAACAGTTGCTTTTGCTGGTCTTGGTGCAAGTTCCAGCAATGAACTGTTTAATGATTGAATCTGCAAATTCCTTGTCGTTGCGGAATTGACATGTTTGGGCATGTAGCTTTAGTTGTGACATGTAGTTGTCAAAAGATTCACGATCCTTATGCTGAAATTTCTGCAAGTACAGGCGAGCAACACGGAAATTTGTTCTCTGAGTGATTTGTGCAGTGAAGTGATCCCAAACGACGTCAGGCTTTTTCACATCAGCATCAGGTAAGCTCCACGAATTACACATGTGAAGTCCAGTAGGTCCCATGAAGAGAAGAATGTGGTTGACTTGTTTTTCTGTTTTGACATTCCTCACGGAAAAATACAATTCACATTGTTGTTGAAAAATGTGTATGGAACTAGGCAACTCTAGGTCGTCCCTCCCAGGCCATTTGTCACCACCTAACTTAATTTGGGCTTGATATGTACTCTATAATTTCAACTTGAATTCACTGTGGTGACCCCGGGATTCATTCAAATCAAAACATCCAAATGAAATGACCACTTTTTCTGTTTTGAACATATTTACAATTTATTTACAATATATACAACATTCGGAACATTAAACATACATGAGAAATTTACTGAAGTTTGGTTACAAGATTCCTTTTACACTCGAGATGGTATGGGTTCACTTATTCTTTCAAACAACAATTATTCAATTACTTTTACTGTAAATCATATATAGTTCTGAAGTTTAATTCTGCTGACTTAAAAGTTGGTGAAATACGCGTTCCCCTGGATTACTCGCCAGCTATAGTCTGTCGCCACTCCCTGGTCCTCACTCCTTAATGGTAGGGGTGGGCCTTTGGCACTGCACTATACGCCCAGCTCGATCGAGGCTCTGGTACGGCTCACTGCGGCCCTGGTGCCGCGTAACTCTCTGGCTACAGATTGGTGGGGAACGGGGCGGCCATGGTTATTGAAGTTGGTTCCTTGTTTGGAGCGGCTACAGATGGGTGCTGCTATACCGGACTTCAGCTCTACAGGGCTGGTGTACTTGTAGGCCTCCGGAATTTTGTTTAGTCACTGGCATCGAGAGTCCGAGCCTTACCACTCAATCGGGGGACATGCCCCAGGCAGTTTTGACTGAGGGATCCGACACGGCGTCCCCAGCCGGGCAGCCCGTGCTCGCTTCCAAACTTAAACCAAGGGAAGAAAAAGGAAAATTCCCGGGCCAAAGCTATGCCGGTGGGGCATATAGCGACGGGCCATGAGCCCCGGTGTGACCGGAACAGCCCCCGAAACCGGTGTGGTTCCCGGTGGGTCCGAGGCAGGGACCGGTGCGACCGACACCGGAGCCCGCCCGAAGACGGCATTGGGTGGCAGGAAACACGGGATGCAGGCTGCGGACGCAGCCACTACGGAACCGGGCTCGATTGCTGGTCCCTCGGCTGAGGTTTCGGTAGGTCCGGCTCCGAGTCGCTGATGCAACCGGAGCCGGGACAGGTCCGATGGTGAGACACGCCACCGGCGTAAGAGACGGCGGAGATATACTAGTTCAAGCTCTTCATCGTCATCCGCTAGCAGATCGCCACGAGGCCGTCGACGGCATCACAGCGGGCGGGAAGATCCCACGTTGGCCCTGTTATTACAGGGGTTCCGTGAATTGACGGCCAGTATTACGTCACTGATACCGAAACCGACAGCGCTGGCTCAACCGGTGACTCCACCGGAGCCCGGGCAGGTTTTGCCGGAACCGGGGGCCGAGGATGAGATGTCAATCCTCGTCTCTGATAATTTTTCCGACCCGGGGAGTGTGTCAGATAGGGACCCATGCCGGGTTTCGGCAGCGGTAGCGGTCCCCAGTACCGAACAACCCTCAGGGAATGAGGAAACTTTTCCCTCGAGACAGAAACGAGATCGCCGGGAACAGCCCCCAAGGGGGGAGGGTGATTCCTCGGTGGATTCGGATGAATCATCCTACCAATCCAGCGATTGCGCATGGTCATGAAGGATATGGTACAGGTGCTACATATACCGTCGAAGGACGAAGAAGAACCGGTAGAGGGCGCTAGACAATCGTTTAAGTGCCCGACCGCGCCGGTCAAACCGAAGGATTTTTTTCCGTTTCTTCCGATTGATCGGCTGTGCGCCGATCGCATGAGTGCACTTTCGGAGGTTAAAAAAATAGGTCCGTTCGTGCGCCGTGAAACTCGCCCGTTCAGAGTACCTCAGGCGGACTTCGATAAATTTGTATCAGTGCCGCCCATGCCCACTACGGTACGTGATAAAATCGCGGCGGATTCGGGTGGCCGAAGTTCGATGAAATCACCTTTTCCATCAAAAGAAAAGAATGTTTTGAAGAGTCATTGCTGAAGATTAACAGAGCTTCACGTGCAGGAATTAGAGTGGCATGTTTTCTACAACTCCTGTCAGAATACTTGGTGTGTTCTTGTGAGGCAGACTCGCCGGTGTCACCAGAGGCAACTGAGACAGCGTTTCATTACCTTGACGACGGGCTATGGCTGTGCATGGACCAGTTTATGCGGGTGTCCTTGATGACAATCAACGCCCGCCGAGCTAACGTGTTGGAAATTCCAAGAGATCATGCAAGCTGAAGCGAAGCGGATAAAAGCTACGAACAAGATCAATCTCAATAGACAGCCTAGTTAACAGGCTGTTTCAGTAGCCCGGCTGGCTAGTGAACAAAAAAGTTAAGGTCGTACCCTGCTCATATCTTGCTTTGTCTATTCAGTGTGCCCGTAAACTCCAGGTAAATAAAGAGAAAATACATGTGTGAGATAGGCGCCATTGCGTCCAGGAACTAACACCTGGAAATATACCTCATCATCTTAATTATAGTGTTCGTTATGAGTAATGTTTTAAGCTCCTACTGTAAAAGAAAATGGACACATGCACATCAATAATTGGTACTATATGATGCCGAGCAGGCCCATTTGCACCCTATATGATATTATAGAATGTCCCCCTCCATCCGACTGCCGAGCACTACTGCCCGAACAAAAGCCGGCCTGCCCTGCGTGATCATTATCATCAGTATAGGGCAATGTTATTTCCCTACTTAATTATGGAATTACGTGTATGCCTACTGTTTGTTCCTTTAAAATAGGTTTACCTTTACAAAGCCTGTCTTTAAATCATTAAAATAAGGGTTAATAATTAACCTTCTTTATTATATAACTTTAATAAAAACCTCACACATAGGCCTTGCCATCTAACTAAATGCCCGGCATATCTGGGTGCTTTAAAGTGTAACTTAATTCAGACACGCAAAAACCCTTACATTTCTCATTCGTAGTTTTCAATCAGGGCAATCTGGACCATCCCCTTTGGACACACCATATAGGAAGGAATGCAACATTCCAATATCATGCATCATTGTGGAACGCCACTGCAACTCCGCACCATAAACTATTATCTTGTACAATACATGTAGTCTTACATGCACCACCCTGTGTACAAAAACAATGCCATGGCAGTATACTCAGGTTTCTTAAACTCCATTGTGAACATTTCACGCCATCTGAGGCTAGTCAACTCCTAGTTCCTTGCTCTTTGGCTGAATATATTTATAGAAATAACGATTGATCCGGCAACTTCATTCCATAATCCAATTTACCTATTACGACTTACATGGATCCTTTTAACGACCGCCAAAAGAAACTGGTTTTCTCCTACCTTACTTTCTATTCAATTGAAAGGGGGAAAACAAGTTCTGTGTCCACACTGACAGTAACACCATCATGGCGATAATTATTATCATTGGTCGAGCCTCTCCACAAACAACTCTCAAATCTGGAAACTGAACTTCGATATCGGCTTTGTTGGGCCGTGATTCAGCATATGGCCTAAGGGCGGGCATACAAGCACGGAGCAAACAGAAATACATGCTTACGCGACCAGCCAGATTATATTTCTGATGTATACTCTTTCACCCTCTACGTCGCTAGTGTTACTAATAGCTCACAACTCCTGTTGGGTTGTGATGCACAAAATAGAATGACCAGTCATCCATAAATTTAATTAAGAGTTGCTTATTTTATTTTTACAATTTAACTGATTTGGCAACAAGGCAAGTTCATGGTTCATTGGGTCTCTGGTTGCTTTGCCAAATTGCCTCCCCCTCCCCAACCCTGGCCTGGGTGTGCTAACTTCACTCCCACAAGTGTTTAATAGCAAATTAGCCTAGAAAACAATATGCACGTCTGGCATTTGAGCTTTCTCATAAGTAATTCTAGGACATTCTTCGCTGATGAATTGAGTCTTTTGGGGCAGGTAGGATAAGTCTATGCACTATGCAAAGCTTTACAACAATATCAGCTGATCTGAGTAATCTCCCATCATTAGAGTCAAATCTCAAGGGAATCGATAAAACATTTAAGGTATCCAGAGTTTGTGTTAAGTCAGGTTCCTGATTTGTCTACACTCGTGTCATTTTTTTCCTTCATTCTAATGATCAGTGTAAACTATAGTCACTAGTATGGATATTAATGCACCACGCTCGGGGTTTTCCGATGTGAGGCTTGGTCACATGGTCAGTCCTGTTTATAGAGGGCACACCAGCTACAACTGGACCAACGTTACTAGCGATTGGGCTATCTGCGCATAAAATCCTATTCTCTTGATGGGAATTGAGTATTTCTTTGAGATAAACGGATTCCCCGGTTATCTGAATTTGAGTTAACAAGTGTTTACTGTATGTATGTACATGTACATCAATGCATTTCATAAGAAGTTAACATAAAACGAAAACAAAGAACAGGATGTAATTACATATTTTGTGCTGCATTGCAGATTTTAGCACAATCATTTATGATTGAATTAATAAAGTATTCATGGAATTCTTTTTACTGTAGGTCGTTTTGAGACAGGAGCTAAAACATCGACGAACAAGAGCCCTGTCAAAAATGAAGGAGCAGGCAAATGAACACGAGCAGATTGAAGAAAAAAATTTTCAAACTGGTAAAAAGTTGACAACTGTCTTGCAGGAAAATGGCAAATTAACAAAGGTATGTGAAGATTGATCACTGCTATAATATAAAGCGCAAAGGGTGCCAAAGGAAATTGGGACTGAGTTATGGGGACTTTCTGCTGTCCCCATAGTGTCTTCGGTCCCCATAATTAGGCACTTCAGTGGGGTGTCGAATTACAGGAGTACGAAACCTCAACACACGCACACGCGGAACCAAGCACACAGGCTCAAATGTCCTGATGAACTTTGAAAGTTCATAACAAAAAAAGTGCTCAACCGATCGTTTTCAAATTTGGAGACATTCATTCTGAGTATTTCATGTGTACTTCCACCGAAATTCATTGTCAAATTCTTCGTTGATCTGGTTTTATGGCGACAGAAGTAACGCGGTGCCCATACCTTGCGATCACCTTCTCGTGCCGATCTTGAAGGTCATGACGCGGCACTGCTTTTCGCGGCACTTCGTATGCACTCGGTTTCGGGGTGAAATTTTCCGGAGGGAAACCGGGCGTTCTGATTGGCTGGAGAGCTTCATCGTGAGCTTTTCCGAATAGATCCGAAGACGTGCTTTCACACGGTGTGTGTTCTAGGTCGATCCGTTCGCAAAGAGTGGAGATACGAAGTTTTGAAAATTTCAGCATCGTTTTTCAAGATGAAAATTCATGTTATTTACCAGGGAACAAGGTGTGTGTAAAACATTGATATTCAAGCTTTATATTGATATAGATGACAACGATCTACGATTTGAAAAAAGTCAACGGAAAGGGAAACGAAAATGATAGCACCTTTGGAGAGTTGCCTGTACGCACGTAGTTTGTGTGAACGGCGTGCGTGCACACGGCGCACCGTGGCTTTCCACTGCATGCCTGCCTGGATGCGCTGCGTTGGTCGGCCCGTCACTGGGCAACGTGGCATGCAATGTGCCTTGGCCCCGTGCCGTGGGACAAATGTTGCTTGAATCGTTCCGTCCGTTTCTGCGTCCAATTGCGGAGCTTTATTTCAGTGAAAATGTTCACCGGGGATAGTGAAAAGGGCACTAGCTTATATTTTAGTGTAAACTAAAAACAAAGATGTAAAGTGACTGTGTTTTTCACCGTTTGTGACGCGACCATTCCAGTCATCTACTTCGCCCCCAAAATGGACTCTCAACCACTTCGCCCCATATTCATTGCCGTTATAGTAACAGCCATATTGCCCCAATGTCAGTTCGCCCCAAATATTTCTTGGCGTATTTATTATCCGAAAATCATAAAACAGAAGGCTATATTCCGCTATTAAATTCATCATGATCATGTACATGTCATTCCTACTTGAATATGGGTAGTGCTTTTGGGGGGGGGGTAGTTTTTGGTATATAAACTGCAACTTTCATAAGTTCTATTCCTCCATTCCAAGTCTTAAGGTTAATTATCATTAATTAATAACTCGTTGATATAATTATATTCAAATTACATGCTCGGTTGTGTTACATTTGACAAACAAAAAGGCAGTAGGGGGCCAATATCTCCCATTCAAAGTTTTAAGTGTTCGTACACAGTCATGTAGGCCTGCGTACTGCGTAGTTTTGGCTGTGCTTTAATTCGCATCAGATTGATTACATTTTCTAATTAGAGGCAATTAATTAATAAGGTTGTGACTTTTTGAACATGAGAACAAGTAAGGCACTTTTTCTTTAACATTATGGGAATATTTAATAATGTGTACCTCGTATATCTTGTTAACAGCGCACAAGTTTGCTAATTTTAATTAATTAATATGCAAATAAGATGCAGGACTAATTAATTCTTTTGATTTTATGTGCCGAAAAGATGTAGGAAGGCATATGTAGATTATATTCTGAAAGTTTCATGTACATACAATAAATATATTTAAAGTTATAAGCCAATAAGTGCTTTTTCATGTGAAGTCAACGGTGCCACCCTTAAAACAAAGAAAATAAAAAGATTGACCTTTGACATTGGACTCCTTTGCCATTGACAAAAAGTGAAACAAAAATGCCCGTATCTCCGTAACGGAAGGTGCCATTTCAAAAATTTAAAAAGGTTTTTAATGCCATTGACCTGCCCTTTTTATCCTGTAAACATTTTAAAAACAAAAGAGCAACAACAAATTTTCACCTAAAGTGCCTACCATAATAACTATCGCTCAAAAGGTGTGTGGCCCTCACAACTACAGAACAAGATTAGTACAATTGTGTACATACACATAGTTCCTTATGGGGCAGTAAGCACAGTTGGGACAATAGACTCCACATGTCAGTCTTTAGAAATCAATTTGCCCCATAAGGAAAACAAAGTAAACCAAAAGAAGGGAAACAGAGCTCTTCCCACAAGTATATGTATGTAAGGCTAGGTTTGTTTATGGTGTAAATTGAGGACACACATGGGAAACAACCTTGTGTAATTGAGGACAGGAGTCAATCCGGTACAAAACCAATGGGAACTGTTGCAAATAAAGTATGTTGCAAAAAAAAAAATATCAACAACAGAATGATGTAGAGGAACAATAGAAAATCCTTGATTTACACCATCAACAGACATGTGTGTGTGTTCACAAGTTGATTGCCCCTTGGTGGGGTCGATTTGCTGGGAAAAGCTGGCAACTCACCTGGGCGATTTGCCTGCAAAGGGGGCAACAGGCAGCAAAGCGGGTGATAGGCAGTGAAGCCATCTACCTTGCGAAACAGATGAGACAAAGCCTCTCTGAAATAAGGGTGTATCTAAAAAAAAAGATACCCAGATGTAAATGTAAATGATATAAAATCTAATGCACATTTTCAAATAAGTTGAGGATCATTTGAAACACCAATGTGTACTCTTTCCCTGTGGCCGCAGATAACTGAGCTTTCATTGTCATTCTGTCAAGGGTCTAAATCTGTACTGAGCCAAGTTTTACCTGGCCAAGATTGCTGGCTGGTTTGTAAAAAGTATATGTGCACCCTGACTGGTAAAAAAATGTTTCTGGTACCTTTGGCCGCATTCAAGTAAGAGTGTAAAATTGAATTTAAAAGTCATTTGAGATGCATACCCTGGGCTCTTCAAAAATGGCATTTCTTTGTTCTCCTTACAAAATTTAATTTCAGTTTGTATGTTTTGTTTTCACCAAAAATACCTTATTCCAATTTTAGGTGTCTACAACCCTCTGAAAAGGAATTTCATTTTGTGCACATATTAACCCACCCTGCAAGAGCCAAACTATTGTGTGGTAGCCAATAATTAAATTATTATGAAGAAATAATTCAAAAACTAAACATTGGTGGATTTCATTCGTTCAATGTCTCATTTACAAGTGAAATACATTAATGTTTCTAAGAAAATGACAATTGAAACAAAATCTATTTTTCAAGGTTAAAAACAAAAATAGCACGGGGATCGCATCTGTAAATGTCTTTTTAAAAACTTTTACAGAACATATTTTATTGTCTGCCCTTTCCAACGTTTAAAACATTACCCTGCTACTCGATATGCTACAACACAATTAATATAATTTCAGAACCCAAAGTGCCATTCGGGCCACAAATTTGCAGTTAAGACATACAATTTGGGTTATGTGTTTGATGTACCACATGATCATTGACAGATTCAGTTGACTTTCAAAAAATATCACATGTTTTGTAACATAAATTATGTCAAAATATTTATTACTTTCAGTGATTTTTTTTTATACAGGGAATCAAAAGACTAGAGGCGGAGTGCATCTCACTTGTGCAGCAAAACAACATAAACTCTACCTTACAGGGCAGTCTGAATGATGAATTAATTCTTCAAAGAGGTAAGATCACCAACATTTGTTCTTTTTGTTTCATGAAAATCACCTGTTTTGTCCTTTACATCACTATTGGAACCGAAAAGGTGTAGTCAACTTCGTTCACTTACCAAAATAGCTACTACATATGCATATTTATTCAGCACACAGGCTCAAATGCTAAAAGATTTAATCAACCAATGAGTGCACTCTCAGGGCCTACCCGTCATGGCAATCCCTTTTTAGCCAAGTCAGCTTTCTTGAGTTATTATTATTAGCACCTAATGTTATTGTAAGAATTTATTTTTGGCTGTTTTGGCTGTTTTAGCACTTTTGCCGAAACAGCCTTTGTTTTCGTTAAGATTTTTGGCTTTTCTGCAAAGTTGCAGAAAAGCCTTTGTGTTTGTTCTGATTTTTTACTTTCTTCTTCTTCTTGTTCCACACCCAAAATCCCATAAACTTTGTACATGTCTTTCGTCGGCGCTACTTTTGGCATTAATCTTTGTCCTACATCATTCAAAGTTACCATAGGCATAGTCCCTATAGCAAAGTTGTGTCCCGAAGATTGACGTCATCATGGGTCACGTGACGTCATCGAATTTTGCATATTTTAAAGTCCTATATCTACAGAACTATAAGTCCTATTGGGTTGAAACTCGGTATGTATGTAAACCGGGGTGTGTTATAGGTAAAAATTGATGTGACGTCATGATGACATCATCGTGGGATTTTATATGATTTTTTTGAAGTTTTGGACCTTAAAGCCATATCTCATGAACGCAACATGCAAAATTCAAAATTCTTTTTGTATTATGTTTAATAGGTAATAGGTATATGCACGCAATTTTAAAAAGATGTGTGACATCATCATGACATCATCAAAAATGTGATTTTTGAAAACACATACAAGGGAAAGTCCGATCGTCATGAAACTTGGTGGGTAGCTAGATAATGGTACTAGTATGCAAAATCCGAAATGACGTCACTATGACGTCATTGGTTGATTTTTTATGATTTTTTAAATATTTACAATTTCATTCCGCTTCTAAAATTTAACACTTCCTTTCATTGGATTGACTTCAAGCTAAATACAAACCAAGACCACAATGCTAAAATGTGCATTGACAAGTGTTATCAAGAAGACGTCATCGTAGGGCATGTGACGTCATCATATGCCGAATCCAAAGTGACGTCAACATGACGCCATCAACTATTTTTTTTTTATATTGTATATCTGTTGGCTATACTACCTCAATATAACTTTTATGAACTTTGAACAAAAATATAATTGATATGACTGCTCATTGGAAAAACATCATGAAGTCACACAAAAGTAATCAGCGGAAAAGCCCTATGTTCTGTTTTCAAACAGACATAGACCTCTAGTGTTTTTTTATTTGAATTTTTTTTTCTTTTTCAGTCATTTTGGCCATAGCATTTTTACACATTTGTTTTTGTTACCGGCACTTTGGGCACTAAAATTAATCCGATTGACTTTATGCTTGGCACACACTTAGACCAGCAGCTGAAGTTATGTGCCCAACATTGACATCATCATGATGTCATCATGAGTCACATGATGTCACGTTATTTCTGTTGTGACCATTTCTAGCAGAATTCGGCTAGATCTGACAGATTGGGCTATATCTCCAGAACTACAGGTCCGATTGGGTTGAAAGTTGGTATCTACCTAGACCGGGATGTCTTATAGATGAAAATTAACTTGACGCCATGATGACATCATCACGTGACATATGAGGTCATATAAAATGAACATATTTTGAAGGCCTATATCTCCTGAACTACAGGTTCGATGGGGTTGAAAGTTGGTATGTACCTAGACCGGGATGTGTTATAGACGAAAATTAAAGTGACATCATGATGACGTCATCACATGACATACACGTATGACATCATCGTAAAAATACATATTTTGAAGGCCGGTACTACAAGAACTACAGGTCCGATTGGGTTCAAATTTGGAATATACCTAGACTGGAATATCTTATAAATAAAAAAAAATATTTTTGTCATGACGACATCATCACTGACATATGACATCATAGTCAATAAACATATTTTGAAGGCATATCTCCTGAACTACATGAGATGATTGGGTTACAAGTTAGTATGTACCTAGACCGGGATGCGTTATAGATGAACATTGTAGAGGCGTCATGATGACGTCATCATGTGACATATGACATCATAGTAAAGTTGCATATTTTGGAGGCTAAGCACTTATAATTGGAAAAATGGTTTCGCAAAATTGTGCACAATTTCTGTTGATATGACTACATGCGACAAGTTCCATTTGGTTGACAAATATAGTTGCTACCTAAACATCAATATGATATCGATCACAATATCAGTCATGTCATGATGACGTCATCAGATACGAATAGACATTTAATCCAATCTGCATTTTTACACATATGTCTTTGTACCATTTGCCCTCATGATTTTGCAACTTTCGACTTCACATCTATTATCTCCCGTTAGTCTATAACATGACATAAAAAACACAATAGTGAAACAGCCATATGTTTGTCAACAAACATACCGGTACATCTAGTTAGTATTATTATTACATGTACATGTATACCCATTCTTGTTTCCCATTTGTGGGGACTACACAAGAGTTCTTTCATGGTAATACATATATGGGGACCGAAGACGTTGTTGGGGCTGCAAAAAGGCTCAACAACTGGGTCCTAAATACCCTGACAATGGAAAACTTCCATGTATAAATGGAAATACATGTACATTGTGTATTTATTAGGACATTTCTTCACTTTTTATGTTGGCATTTAAAAACTGACCCCTTCACCTTGGCACATCAACCAGAATCCTGATCCCAATCATGCACATCCCCAACCCTACCTTCAGCTTCCCTTCCCACCTTCGACAGCGAGCCATGGCGGCTTTTATATGACCATCCAAGTTAATACCACTTTTCGTCTCAGAAAAAAACTTAAAGGCCTACTCCTAAACACAACTTTAAAATTCAAACTTCGGTGACGGCTTTAACAGGGAAGCTCATAATTGTATCACAAGTATTATATTTTGAAAATCAGAATTCAATGATAATCACGGAAGATAATGTTATCTAGGAAACGAATAATTCAACGATGACATTATCTGATTATGAAACCATTCATGGTTACTGTTATTCTTACGTGTCTTCGAAAGCCTACCAACTTCATAAACATAAACTTACCTATTAACTTTTGAAATTCGGCAGTGCAAATATTTGAATGGGGACAGGTCGGTGCAATTCAAAAATTGAAAATTTGAGAGCACTTAAGTTTTATTGGATATCAATGAGAAAAATGGATACAATGTAAGGAACAGAAACTTCAACTTCATTTTTGCATTTATACATGCAAATAGATACACCTTTACCTCGTCGCAACAAAAATATTCCAATTGACTCTCAACGGGCGCGACCCCAATTAAGGCCTAATTTATCAACATTTATGACAGTACGTGTAGGCCAATGTGATTGATGTACAGCAGTGCCTATATACTTGTTCGTTCGATTTGCTTCATGCCTTTTGATCGGAGGACTATAAAGTTGAATTATGAAAATGAACTTGATCATGTGTATAAGCTTTATATATTTTTTTTTAAAATTATCCTATGGCCTGCAATACATTATTAATCACAACTAGAGGTTCGCGTTTGTTGTTACAAACGCAGAGTGGTCGGGCAGGCATTTAAAAAAAAAACGTGCCGAGTTAAGTTATGAATATGTTGATGTAAGAACAAAGGATCACGAAATTAAATCCTGTCCATCACAATAAATTATTTTGTTTAAAAATGCATCTTTAACGGTGTGATAAATTTCCATAAACATTTTATGTACACATACGAGTTATTTCTAGCTTGATGACGTCATTATTAAAAAAAACGGGAAGTGAATACTGATTTAGTTCGGAGTGGATAAATGTTTATTGTGAAGGTGAATAACGTATGCAAATAGGGAAAATATAACTGTATGTATTTATAACACCTAACTTCCGGTTTCATGACGTCACTAGTATTTGGAAGCTAAAGGTTAACATTAATTGTTGTGGTATCGTTTTTTGGGCTACAAAAATATACGACATGGGTCAAATGATAGAATTCAATTTAAAATATGATCATTTTCAAATTCTCATCGATGTAACTTCCGGTCTGATGACGTCATGAATTTGAAACCTTGCTAAGTTATCTGTGGTTAATCAAAGAATATCAAGGGGCGATTTGGTAAAATTTGAACCGATGTTCTTCAGATTAAAGAGAACAAACACAATTTTATGTGCCGCAAGGGGGCGCCCTTTCGGATTATGACGTCATCACACCTTTTTTTTTTGTGACTTAAGTTTCTCACTAAACACTTGCATAATATATATGTCTGTAGTAAAATGCTTCCGCTTTGCACTTCCGGCACTTCCGGTAACACCGGAAGTAAAGGTCAAGCGGTTTTGTGTCCGGGAACAAGAAATGTTTCTCACAGCATTGTCTACAACCTCAATAAACACTGCCGTGTAAGGTTATGAATATTTTTATGTAAGAACAAAGGATCACAAAATTAAATCCTGTCAGGTACAATCAATTATTTTGTGGTACAATTCAGTAAACATTCTATGTACACAAGTTATTTCTGGCTTGATGACGTCATTATTCAAAAACGGGAAGTGAATACTGATTTAGTTCGGAGTGGATAAATGTTCATTGTGAAGTTTAATGACGTATGAAAGTATGGAAAATATACGTGTATTTATTCATAACAACTAACTTCCGGTTTGATGATGTCACAGTATTTGGCAGCAAAAAGTGAACATTGTAATGGATATCGTCACTTGGGCTACGAAGATATACGACATGAATCGAATTTTAGAATATGGTCCTTTTCAAATTCTCCCAGGGGTAACTTCCGGTCTGATGACGTCATGAATTTGAAACCTTGCCAAGTTATTTTTAGTTAATCAAAGAATATGAAGGAGCGATTTGGTAACATTTGAACCGATGGTTTTCAAATT